TTAAGAAGGATCACCTTTCCTCCAGTTTCCAATAACATGCTCCTCATTTCCACCTGAGTCCTCACCCTGACACCTTTAATGTTCATATTTCACCCACGTTCTGTCCGTGACAATACAGTCATATGCTGCATAATGACACTTCAGTCAATGACGGACCACATGTATAATAGCAGTAGGAACAGTAGGCTCTGTCATAGAGCCCAGATGTGTAGTAGGCTGTACAATCTAGGTTTGTGTAAGTACATGCTATGATGTTTGCACAATGACAAAATCACCTAATGACTCATTTCTCAGTATGTATCCCCACTGTTAAGAGACACACAACTGTATACATATTCTCTAAGACAACAGAAGCTTCCTCTGTAACTCTCCTCTTTTCTTTTTGAGACCTTAACAGATTGCCTTTAATGTCCATATTTCTATCAATTGTCCCTCATGACGAAATAGGCATTTTCTAACACGCACTTTAAAACGTCTCCAGCTTCTATCCATTACTTGGTTTCAAAGTTGCTTCCACATTTTTAGGTATTTGTTATCCAGCATCCCACTTCTCAGTTCTAAGGTCTTAGTCTGCTCAGGCTGCTTCTAACAAAATACCACAGACCAGGTGGTTTTAACAACAGGAATTTATTTTCTCACAGTTCTGAAGACTAGAAGTCCATGATCAAGGTGCTGGCTGATTTGGGTTCTGGTGAGAGCTCTCTTTCTAATTTGTAGACATCTGCCTTCTTGCTGTGTCCTCATATGGCCCCTTTGGTGCATGCTCAGAGAGAGCGAGCTTCTCCGTCTCCTCCCACAAGGCACTAATCCTATCAGATCAGGGCCCCACCCTTATGAGTTTACTTCACCTTCTTCCTTACAGGCTCCATCTCCAAATACAACCACACTTTAAGGTTTCAACATATGGATTTTGAGGGACACAAGCATTCAGCCCATAACAAGGATCCCCACAAGAGGGATAAATCTTTAGTGAAAGCTGAAAATCAGTACAATTTAGCTTAATAATTTTATAGACTTCAGTCCTGGGTTTACAAAATCATTCACAGACTCGAAGAGCACGTAATTTTGGATATGCTAATGAACACGGTATTCCCAAGTTCTAGATCCCAGGACACACTCTGTAATGTTGTGGGGCTTCTGTACTTGTCCCACAGTGGGGGTGAAGCAGACATACCCATTGAGCCCAGGTGGGCATGAGACAGACACGCCCCACCCAGCCCAGTGGGCATGGGAACCAGTACGGACCCTGGTTGGGGGCCCAAGATGGTCACAGGAGTGTGTGGAATCAGGTCCCATGGGCTGTACCCAGAGAACATAAAAGAGCAGAAGGGCCCAGATACCACGCTGGGGCAAGAACAGAACAGAGCAGCATCACCTCCGCATGGACGGCCTCCATGTCTTCACAGCAAGTCAAGGCTGTGCATTTCCTTCTCTCCCTTCTTACTCTGCTTGTTTCTTAGGCAGCCCCCAACTCCCTGGCACTTCTCAGCAAAAATGCACATCTGTTTGCCCCATCAATGCTTCCCACATCGCTGGGTGGACAGAGTGCTCATGCCAGGCCCGGGTGGCCACAGCCCTTCCTCAGTCCTGTCCTGCTGACCGCAAGGAGTCCACAGAGAGGCAGGCGCCTCCAGTGAGCCGATGCTGCAGGCGCTTTTGTCCTGAGAGGGTGACCTGACCCACGGCTGGAGTCCAGTAAGGGGGACTGTGGCTTCTCTGAGCCTCCTTGGTCTGACCTGGGCTGAGCCTGGAGGGAGCCCCCACTCCACTCCCCGCCCCTCAGCAGGGCCGCAGTGCAGCCCAGGCCTGGCCCTGCCACGTCCTTGGTGCTTCCTGGGACGCAGTGATAGTCTCCTTCATGCCACCTCCCCTCCGTTCTCTTTTAACCCCGAATTCCCCTTTTGTGAATAGCACAACTGACAAGAGTGGAAAATCCCGACCGTACCCCTCGCCCACAGAAGAGGGCACAAGCAGAGGGTTTTATAACTTAAAACACTGCTCTAGGCAAAAACCAAATAAAAACAAAATAAACCCCACGGCCTTTTAAAAATCCAGGAAAGCCAACACTGAAGTAAACGTTGCAAGCAAATCTTCAGGCCATTATCACCCTCTGAGGTTAGAACTTTCCAGTCATGTCCTTCCCAAAGGTGACTTTTTATGGAAGTTTTAATGAAATTAGCTCGTCCATTTCTGAGTTAAGAAGCATAGATTAAGATCCAAGTTTTATAGCTTGACTTTTTTCTAACCATACAGTGGAAATGAAATTCTGGAGAGTCATTAGGATTCTCTCTAAGTTGTACGGCTTGAGGGGACACAACATTTGGAACGCTTGGTAGAAGACGTGTGATGGTAAAATCAAGAAGTTCATTATTTCACATAACTGCAGAAGTTACAACACTCTCACGACGTCTGTGGATTACTGAGCTGCACTTTATCTGCAGCTCACGCGCGGCCTTTACACACACGGCGAGTGGGACGGACAGGAAGGGCGCCCTGCCTGCACCAGCGCGTGGTCCAGCAATTCACACCGCCGAGGGCTGGAGTCAGAGGGAAGATGGGAAAAGCACCCTGCTTGCAGGTAGGAAGTGCTAGGCATCAGGCGGAACTAGAAACAGCAGAATTGGAGCATTTCTGAGGCCATCAAGCCCAGACCTGGTTGGGTCCAGCTAGACCCATCCAGAGAGATAAAGACCCTAGCCTCCTTCCCAACCTCCAGGCCAGGAGGTCAGGGCTATGTGCTGTCAGTGGGAGGAAGGTGGACTGACCACATCTCCAGCTCAGGACAGGACCTCCCCACTAGGGACAGCCCTGAACCCAGGCTGGGCTGTCCACACATGAAACCCACTTCTCCACCCTCAGGTTTAAACAGTTACTGTGGAGCTGGGGTGATCTTTGCCCACACCACCCCATCTGTAAAAGGGGACTTCCCAGAAGGTAGGTCTGGAAGGCCGTGCCCACGATTCTGTCCTGGCAGCCCATGCATGTGTGAGTTCAGGAAGAGACTCAGCCATGTCTTGTACCACCGTCTCTTCCTCTCCATCACATCTCAACGCCCCTGGAAGCACAAACTGTCCTGCAGGTGTGGCAGCAGCTGGGTCTCGGAGACAAACTGCTCAACACCGTTGGAGCTGGGAATGACCACCCTAACCCTAACCCCAACCTGGCAGGGGATGGAGGTAAATGTATACAATTAATGTGTTTTCAGTATGAAATTGGAAAGCCTGGAAGGTAAAACTAAGACTTGCTGTGACCTCGCCACTCAGAGATAAGCACTGCCAACATTTTGTGGTATTAGATTCCAGTGGAGAGCTTGACTGGCCAGATCCTGGGGAGAGGTCCAGGGAAGGCCCCGTGCAGGGTCGTGGCACCGCAGGACTATGTGTGTGATGCTGAGTGCTAGCCTGGCTTTCCTCCACACAGTGTGGGGAGGGGTTTCTGAGGACACATGGAGACTGGCAGAGGTCCCACGCCCCATCCGCTAAAGGGCCACAAGGAGAGGCGTGGGAGCCCTGTGCAGCCTCCAACCTGAGTTAGAACGCCGGCCACACCGAGCCCACCGCCAACCTGGAAGAGCCACTGGACCCACACCTGGGGGTCCCACGGGGGTGGAGGCTAGATTTTTAATTTAAAAAGTGATGTAATTGGAACTGCTTTAGGCATGAGGACACAAAAGCTAGCGTGGCTCCCCTCCCAGCCCCCAGCCCCTTCACAGGCCTGTAGTCTGCAAGTCTGCACGTCTCCTCAAGCCCCCAGAGATCTCAGGTCCCAGGGCATCCAATAACCAGGAATCCAAGGAAACATGCGCTTCTGAGGACACCAGCCAGACACCATGGACTGGCAAGAAGAATTCAGGTAAAATTCTGACTATGGGCTAGTGAGAGAACGCAGACCCTTGGTGGACAGAGAGACGGGACCCACCTCTCCAGGGACCTCTCTAGGATCACAGAAACAATGGGGGCAGGGCCAGAGCCTGGTGTAGGCCTGAGGGTGGGCGCCTGGCCCCACTCAATCTTTCTCCCCCAAAACAAAAGACCCAGCAAGCTGGCGGAAGGCAGCAAACCCTGTCACCTCGAGGGTACCAGTGCCAAAAAATCCCTCCACCCCTGGTGAGGGGCCGACTCACAGCCAGGATGCAGGAGCTCCCCGGGGTGCCTGGTCCCACCAATGGGCAGCATTAGCCAGCAACAGTGGTTACTGGTGGGGTGGCCTGGCCTCAGGTACGGGCAGCAGGTGGCACCAAAGGCAGAGAGCAGGTGCTCTGGCACCCAGGGCACCCAGGGCACCCGAGGGCAGCAAGGTGAACTGCAGACACTCAGCCTCCATGCCGACCCATCCCAGTCATCCACAAAGCAGACTCCCATCTTTCCCTGGAACCTGGGCTATGGGGGGGCCCTGAGAAGCCGAGCAGGGGGAGGGCTGGCCCTAGTTCCCCCACCAGAGCTGTGCTGGTTCCTCAGCCTCCAGCAAACCCAGGACCAGAGGCACAAACTGGCTCATCCCGGCAAAGTGGGGTCGAGGACTCCTGACCCGAAGGTGTTGGAAAACAACCAGGCTGTTGCCAGAACTGGAGCCAGAGAAAGTCCAGAGCCCCATCAATCCACAGCCAGGCTGGGTCATCCACGTGAGTCCAGCTCAGGAGGCGTGGGGGGAGAAGGGGCTGTGCATCACACAGCCCACCAGGTGCATGTCACCTGACCACAGCTGGACTCAGGTGAGACCCACCAGGTGAGACTCAGCTGGACCCAGCTGGACCCAGGTGAGACCCAGCTGGACCCAGCTGAACACAAGTGAGACCCAGCTGGACATAGGTGAGACCCAGCTGAACACAGATGAGACCCAGCTGAACACAGGTGAGACCCGGCTGGACACAGGTGAGACCCAGCTGAACACAGGTGAGACCCGGCTAGACACAGGTGAGACCCAGGTGAGACCCAGCCAAACCATAGTGAGACCCAGCTGGACCCAGGTGAGACTCAGCTGGACTCAGGTGAAAGTCCTACCTTGGAAGAAGCTCTTCACCCTGAGGTAGCTGACGCTGAGGCGCAGGACGGATAGCTTGTCGAGCTTCGATGTGACATCGGGTGGAAGTGGCAGGAGGCTGGCCAGGTGGTCCAGCTCTGCATTGAGACGGTCCCGGTGCCGCTTGGAGGGGTTTGACTTCTCAGCCCCAACGGTGGGCCTCCTGTGGGAAATGACCATGGTCAGACGGGCTTCACCAGGAACCACTGCCCCACAGCAGAAACCTGCTCTCTCTAATAACCTCACTGGGAGCATTCAAGCTGCCACCAAGACAAAAAGTGCTGAAAAGGACTAAAACCCATTCCTGGAAATGCACATTTTAAGACACTGAAAATGCATATCAGTTAACTATGGCTCAGTATTTGGAGGGCACACACAGAAATAAACAGCAAACTAGCAGGAGAACAGAGCCTCGGGGCAGGAGGGCATGGTGCCTGGCTGTGTGACGCCAGCTCCTTTCCTGACCTCTCTGTTCCCTGAGGTGGGAGGACACCACCCCAGGCTGTCTGGGCAAGAGTGTGCGTGGAAAATGCGCATTCATTCAGCCTCCTTCAGGGTCTCCACAGTCCCTAAACAAAAACGAACATTCCAGGAAAAATAAAAGCTTCTCATGGCCTCAGAGCTTGTGACCCACAGCCTGGACTCTGCATCTGAGCAGTCCAGGCAAACGTGCAGGGCCTGTGGCTTCAGCCTGTGCCGCGAGGAGCAAGTGGCCCCTCTGAGCCTCAGTTCATCCTCTGCACAGTGTGGCTGGGAAGGGCTGAGGGGGTTAAGAGAGGACCTCGGGGCCCTCAGACCTGGGCTGTGCCCAACATGGGGTGGCAGGACCCTCCCTCAATTCTCCCCCTACCCCTGCAGACCTGCTCCACCCACAGAGGGGCACCTCCCCTACTTCCTGTCTACCTTCACTGACCAGCTGGACCCAGACCCCAACTCCCACTTTCTGCTATTTCTTTTTAACGTGGCACCCACACCCAATCACTCACGCTGCGAGCCAAAACTTAATGGGCGGGAGAACCTAGGGGCAAACTGGACCAGCTCCATGAACAGCCTTCCGTGCCACAGGAGAGGCACCCACGGCCTCCCCAGAGAGGGGGAGACGCCAGGGAGGGGGTGAGATGGAGGGAGGGCAGATAGACGCAGAACGGCCTGCACCAGCAGTGCTGTGAGGGACCAGCTGCGGCCCAGGCAGCGCCTCCACTGGGGGTGGGTACACTGGGGCTTGGCCTCAGAGGTCACGTCTGTCCTCCTTGCTTCATCTGCCCCCACACAGACCCCCTCCTTCCCTCACCCTCTCCTCCTGTGCCGTCCGCACCCGGGCAGGGCCTCTCTGCGAGTCATGAGCCCTGGCTGGGCCCAAATCTCACCTTTCCAGAGCTAGGGGGGAAGCACTCACCTGCTCCCCATGTGGGTGGTGCCTGCACATAAGCTAAGCTGTGGCCGTTCTCGGCTCCTCCCACCCCAGGCTTCCTGCATGGGCACCAGGGTAGGGACCGTCGCCTGGTGGAGAGGTGGGTGTCCAAAGAGCTCAGCAGACACGGCAGGGTGGGTGGAGAAAGCAGGGGTGGCCAGGGGTCAGTCAGGGCCACATGGATAGCAGCACGTGGAAGACGCTCAGGTTCACTCCAGGGAGAGAAGACCTGCCGGAGGTGATGGACACGGGGCTCCAACCCAACACCCCACAAGCTCAGCACAGGGACAGCAGCAGCAGCCTCCAGCTCAGGCAGCACCAAAAACAAGACAGCCATTAATAAATCCAACAAAAGACATCCAAGGCACCTAACCAGAACTATAAAGTATCGCTGAGTCAAATTTTAAAACCCTAAATAAACAGAAAGATATACACATTCTTGGAATGGAAGACTCGGTATTGTTAAGATGGCGATCCTCTCTCAAACAGATGTAAAGATCCACGGCAATCTCAATTAAAACTCCAACAGGGCGTTTTTACAGAAATGATTTACATGGAAATGTAAAGGGCCTAGAATCGCCGTCAGCCTGCTCCAAAGCTGCAACGTTCCAGATGGTCTGGAGTCGGAGAAAACACGCAAACGCAGATCAACACGAAAGAACAGAGGGTCTGCAAACAGACCCCACGTTTCCCTGCGTCTGTTCACTGGACAATTCATTTCACAGAGACACAGGCATCCAACAGGGAAGGTGGGTCTCCTCAGTAAACGGTGCCGGATCAACCGGACGTCCCCGATAACAAATGCACATCAGCTCCCCCACACCATACCCAACATCAACTCAAAATGATCACACCCCTAAGTGCGAAACCCACGATAACACTTCACAAGAAAACACGTGCAAACGTCTTGGAGACCTTGGGGCGATCACGGGGCTCTGAGAACACAAAAGGAACAAAAAATTGATAAACTGGTCTTCCTTGAAAGTTTTTAATAAGTCTTTTGAAAGTCAATATTGAGAAAAGAGAAGGGTAAGTCACAGATTGGAAGGAAATAGTCAGAACAAGGCCCTGTATCTACAAGATGTAACGAACTCTTACAACTCCATAAGAAGACAGCCCCGTGAGAAGACAGGCAGATTACACGGGCACCGTGCCAGGGAAGACACGGGGATGGCAAATAAGCACACGAAACATGCTCAGCACCACTGGTCATTAGGGAAATGCAAATTAAAACCCCGACGCGATGCCACAAAGGCAGTAGAAAGGCTGAAACTAGAAAGACTGACCATACCAAGTACAGGCGAGAAAGGGGAGCAGTGGAAGTCGACACACTGCTGCTGGGCGTGTAAAAGGTCGAGCTGCTTCGGAAGTTTGACGGCTTCTTAAAAGGTTGGGCACACGGCTACCGCGTGACCCAGCGATCGCACTCCTTTGTCTTTGCCCACGACAAATGAAAGTGCACATCCCTACCACGACGTGTCCTAAAGTGTTCAGAGAAGCTTAACTCGTAATAGCCCCAAACGGGGAACATATCAGTGTCTGCCTGCAGATGAATAAACACATTTAGTATGTCCCCACAAGAGTCCCCACAAGAGAACAAACTGCCGATGCACATGAACATGGAAGAGTCTCAAAACCATTGTGCCCAGGGGAACTAGCCCAATAAAATACCATACAATTCCATTTACACAAAATACCAGAAAATGCAACCTCATCCACCCTGACCAGAAGCAGATCGGAGGTTGCCTGGGGACAGAGGTGAGGGAAGAATTACAAAGGGGCTCAAGGAAACTTTTGCAGTCACAGAAATGTTCGTCAGCTTGACTTTGGGGACGGTTTCAGGGGTGCATACAAATGTCAAAATTGATCAGATTGTATACACTTCAAGTGTGTGCAGTTCAATTGAATTATGTTTATTTCAGTTATACCCCAATAAAGATAAAAATGCAGAAAACAAAAGGGAAGTCCCACAGCTTCCATGTTGTTATGACCTAAAGACACTATCCCTTCAAGGACTCGAGGAGCCCCAGAGGTTATGATCTGGAGCATCAGACCTGCTAGTCGTGGCACGTGGCATTAACTCCTGGGAGCACGATGTGGATTCAGAAGCTATGGCACCCACACAGTACTGAGACTGGGGCAGAGAGAAGAGAGGGCTTCCAGGACGGCCAGCAGCCCTCTGCACCCAGTGCCTACCCACCACCCAGATAAGGGGGGCCAGACTGGAACGCTGAGCACAGCCTTGACTTGCAGCCCACAGTCCTCAGCATGGCAGAGGCCGGGACCCACAGCTGGGATTCAGGGCAGCCAGAGCCAGAGGGGAGAGGCTCACATCGCAGAAGGGGGTGCAGGATAATGCCCCTGGTCTCAAAAATCAAAAACAATGTTTTGGCCCCTGTTTCCCCATAACATGTCCCTAGAGAGGGGCACTGCACACATCACACACCCAGCAGCCCCTCCAAGAGATGGACACAGAGATGCCCACGTGGACGAGCCCGCCTCGGTCACCCCTTGCACACAGCCAGGATGGGCGAATGTGGCGGTGGGTGTGTCCGAGTCAGCAAACATGCAGTGACTATTTAGGTTACTGCACTCTCCTTCACTGCCCCTCAAATTGCAATTTAAAAATGCCCAACGCCAACTCAAATCAGCAAGAGAAAAACCTTCTGTCCAGTGATAGTGTCGGGAACAACTGGCAGCCAGAGGGGAGAAAAACAAGACAGACTCAGACCCCACACTTCACATCAGGAAAAATTCCAAGTGCTCAAAAGTTTGAAATTTAGATAGATAGATAGATTTTACAGAATGTATTAGAAGAAACAATGGGACAATTCTCTTACAAACTTGGAGCAGGCAAGAGCTTTCTAATCACAAAGTAAAATGAATTAGCCACCGGGGAAAAGACTGATAAATTCAACTCAATAAAAGTTAAATTTCTCTTCATGGCAAAGAACACCATAAGTAAAATCAAAACTTGGGTCAAGTATATGAAATCCATTCAAGAGTTAATTTGCCTTGAAGACAACAAGCTCCAGCACATCAAGAAGCACAAAATCATAGATAACCCAACAGAGAAAGCAGAAGCCGCGTGCATGGTTCACGGAAAAGGAAATACAAGCAACTTTTCAACCCCACTGATGACGAGAGAATGTGAATCAAAATCACCAAAGTCAGAAGCACACTATGCCAGGGCATGGGCAGGGGGCACCAGCGAAGGGACGTTAAACTGGCACAGCCTTGGACACTGGGCAGTCTGGGGTCTGATTTCACCCTTCCTGCAAGCTGGTCACCTGTCACTGCTTCACAGAGGTGGGCGAAGATGCAAAGCTCCCAAGGCAGAGATGAAAGACTCATGTCACAGCATAGCAGGCAGCATGAGTGGCAGCATGTTGGTGTCACCCTGTGAACCCAAGTCCTGTGGGGTGTGGGTCCAGACTGAGGCTGTGACAGGGGATGCATGTTCAGCCAAGGAACACTGAGTGCAGAGTGCAGGGAATGACCACTGGGCAGTAGACAGTAAACAAGACTCTGTCCCCAAAGGAGACGTTCCCTTATCCCTCAAGGTTCCCACTGCAAATGCGTCCCGGGAGATGGCCCAGGTACAGAGCAGCCAGAGCCCGCACTTGTGGTGTGCCCTGTGCTCGGCATCCGGCGGGCTGCCTCTCCCAGCAGCGGGCACGTGTGCAGAACGATGCGCGGCTTATCCACGCACGACAGACTGAAGCCATCAAAAAAGGCGCGACAGAGGGTGGTAGAAACATGGCAGGCACATCCCTATACAGGCAGCCAGGAACGGACCCGCCAGTGTGCAGCAGTCTCTGAGGGGCACGACAGTGTGTGCAAACGCTGTGACTTGTACCCACGGGGAGGAAACACACACTGCACGTCCACACTTGATTCATAAGGCATCTCAAGCAGCATTCACGAGAAACTGCTGATCAGATGCCGCCAGGCAGGGCAGCGGGCGAGCAGCCATCTGCTCAAAACATCCATAAACAAAACGCAAATGCCCGACTCCGCAAAACTCACCTCCTCAGGCCTCTGCGTGGGAATAAAAACACAAGGAAGGCGAGAAACTTAGCTCTGGTTCCTCCCTGGACGGGACCACCAGAGATCACTGCATTTGCAGCCCTGTGGCAGAACTATTTTCTTTCCTTACTTAATGTGACAAATGTCGCCAAAACAGATCTCTGTCAAATGCACACACTCAGGAGACATTTCCACCACGCTCCCCTCCACAGACCCACTGTGGGAACGCCTCAGCCCTTCTCGGGCCACTGCCACGTGCACCCAGCCCAGAGTGAAGCCCCCAAACTGCCACCACAGCCGCGCCTGTGTCCCACCGGCTCCGTCTCTAGCCTGCGGTGCCCAGGCTGCCCCCACATGACCAACTCAGGCAGACAGACCCCTCCCAGTGACAGCCTCGCAGGTCAGCCTCAGCTTCACGCGACTGTCGGCCAGTGGCGCTGGCATTACGATGACCTGCTCAGGACCCTGCACCATGGGAGGCTGGGAGGGCAGCCTCGGCCCCACACACAGACCCACGCACGGACACTGCACAGGTGTGCACCCCACACCCCACACGGCCTCACATACACACCCCACATGGCCTCACACACACACCCCACACAGCCTCACACACGGCCTCACACACACACCCCACACGGCCTCACACACAACACACGGCCTCACACACACACCCTACACAGCCTCACACACAACACATGGCCTCACACACACAGCATCACACACACGCGGCCTTGCACACACAGCCACACACACAGCCCCTCACAGCCTTGCACACACACAGCTTCTCACACACAGCCTGACACATGGCCACACACAGCCTCATACACAACACACAGCCTCGCACACACACGGCCTCATACACTGACAGTCTTACACACACACACGGCCTCACACACAGGTGTAGAACACTCACATACATGGGCCACACACACAGCTTTATTGCACCTGCAATGGTGTATCTCACACACACGTAGCGTGCCCAGCTGATGGTGGACGCATCCCCAGGGCTCCAGGAGGAGCAGTGGCAGCCCATGGCCCCCTGCAGATGCCCCTCCTCTGCTGACCTCCTGGCAGGTGAGTCTATAACCCTGTGGTTGCTGCCACCACCCACACCTCCAGCCTTGGGGTCCCCGAGTTCCACATGGTCTGGCCATGGGCAGCAGAAGGCCCATGTGCCACGGGGGTGGTGAGGTCCTGGGCTCCAGGCTCCACCCCCATTCCCCAGCTAAACTGACCAGAGGCCCCGCAACAGGGAGGACCAGCCTGGACGGAGTCTCTGCTCGTCTGTGGTGAGGCTCACAACGCAGCTTGGGGAGGTGTCCCCTGCAAGGTGGTCTTGGGGCAAAGGGTGGTTGGGGTGTTGAAGGACAGCAAAGCTTCCAAAGATCCATGTCAGCTTCTGGCCAAACTAGGCCTGACTCAACCCTGACCTCTCCTTCCACCAGCCTTGTAAAGTGGCCCAGGGCCTGCAGTTTGTGTCCCTCTAAAGAAAGCCAGCGGCAGGTTGTAACGTTACGCGGGAAAGAGGTGGTGCCTGTCCAGCCCCTCAGCCTGTGCGGTCGGCAGCCCTCGCCGCCCCCCCGGCCCTCGACACCCCCCCTCCGGCCCTCACCCCCTCGGCCCTCGACAACCCCCCGGCCCTTGACGC